TTTCAATTAAAAGTTTTTTTTAAATAAGGAAAAAATAAAAATAAATTGAATTTGTGATTAATTGAATAAACAAAGTATACCACTTCCTGTTTTATGATTTTTTCAGAACATTTTTATTGAAATACTTTATTTTTCCTCTCTTAATTTTTTGGGAATGACCTTTTCATCACCCAGAAAAAAGTTGTTGGTGCAATAAATCAACTAGTGCCAATTCAAGGTTCAAAATCAAGTTGGAGTAGGTTAGTGTAAAAACGACCAGAAAAACGATGGTGTCAAAGTGAGTAATATTTCATTTCGACAGCCTGTTTGGGTTGACAAACTGTGCATGTCCTGTGTTCCTCTTTCAACTGTCAACCTCGTTTTCCACTCACCCCCACAACAATTTATTTCTTTCTTGCCATCTGAACCTTGTTACCATATTTCTTTTTTCTATCTTCCTCGTTTTTTTGTTTTGTGCCTAGTGACCACACATAATGAAAAACATTAATAGGATTTAAATTGAGTTTTATGTTTTGTTTATTTCATGTGTGGTTTTCGTTATGGTCTATGTTTTTGTCAGTTTTATTTTGTATAATAGTAAAATATACTTACTTTTCAAAATAACAAAAAAAACTTGATGTAACTTGAATCATCACAAATTTTCATATTTTTCTCTCCGAATTGAAACCCGAACCTGTCAAAAAATGTGTCAGTGATTATAATGAACGAGGTGATAAAACAGCCACCCGTCCATCTATTATTTTTTCCTTATCTTCTGATTTTTCTATTTTTTAGTTTTGTCCAAACATTTTTATTGCCTCTAAAGTTTACTTTTTCATGACGTTTTTGTAAAGGTGAGAAAATATGTTTTAAGGAAAAATATTTGAGTTTTCTAAGAAAAGTTGCTCACTTCATTTTGACTGATTTTAATTTTTGTCTTCGAAAATAACATTTCTTGACAAATAAAACAATGAACATTGAGATTAATAGGGATAAATAATGAAAAAAAATCGAAATTGAAAGAACGATGTTCATGATTTGATAACAAAAGTGTCAAATTTAACAGTTTTTTTATTATTTCTCAATGCGTTTTTTATTATCGATAGTCATTAATTCTAATCAACTATGTATTTTCAAACTTTTTCATTTACATACACTGCGGTTTTTCGAATCATTCAAATAAATTTCGTGAATAAAAATTCAAAAACAATTTTCATGCTGCAAAAAATCGTTTGTTTTGTTTTTGACTCACAAACCCTCTTTGTTGTGTCGCACAAAAAATTTTAGATAATATCTACTCACTTTTTTTCAGCGATTTTTTGTCTCGAAAAATAGCACAACATTTTTATCGTATTCAATAATCGTCATTGCTCTACTTTTTTCAAGAAACAAAAAAAAGAGAAATGCGATGTCTTGAATTGAGTAGAATAGAATAGGGTAAAGTAAGTCATTTTAGTGGATTAGCGAACGCGTTTCCTGGAAAAATGATATATTCTTTTTGTGCTCCTTTTTTTATTTATTGACTTGACTTGTATTTATATTTATTTATTGCTTGGTTTAATAGGTTTGAAAGTAACCAAAAATCAGAAACAAAGTTGGTTTTTTTTTGTTTTTTTCCTCAGATTTCACAACTTCCATTTGTGATTTTAATTGTTTTTTTCTATTGCTCAAAAATTAATTACAAAGATGTTTTTGAAGTTTTTTTTGCAAGTCTGACCTTTTTGTGCAAATTTCTGTTTTCTTCACAGTCCACGTGCTTTATGAATAAAATATACTTTTTAGTTTTAGGTTCAATGATCATGGCAGTTCATAATTTTCTGTGTCTTGTGACTTCAAAAGTAACACACCAGAAATTTTAAACATCTTAAATGAACATTAAAAGTTTTCATTGAAACAAATAGCCAATATATAGTTTGACACATATTAAAATTCAAACTTTTTTCTTGTGTACCACGTTTTTTTTGGTTTTGGAAGGGTATGTTCAAGAGTCTTGTACCACATCATCAAACAAGTATTAATGATGAAACATGAACAAAAACATTTTTGAAATACAAATTGCAAGATTTAATTTTTTTAATTGCTTCAAGACTCATTTTTCCTTCACATTGTCAAGTTAGTTAATTTTCAGACAAAAATTTGTTGACACTACAGTACCTCTATTTGACATTTCTGCTTAATTAAATAACTAACCATTTGAAATAATTGTAGAACACTGTTCAAATAAATATAAAGTTGTTGGAAAATAATAATAATAATAATAATAATAATAATAATTATCAGACAAGTTTTAAAAGAAACTAAAAACATAACATAAATTGAAATTAATGTGGTGATAAAATGAAGGTGCCAATACTTATCTTTTCGCTTCGTCTTTTCATTTTCTGCATTTTCATGTTAGACTCCAGGAGAACCTTTTTTCTTCATTTCGTTCTTCTTGTTCAGTTTGAGCAAGCAGGCGTCCACATTTATGAGATGCCATAAATTCAAACTTTTTCTTGTCACATAATCATTCGGCCGTTCACTTTTTGTCTTTCGTTTTTCTTTAGTTGGGAGGTATTATTTTTCTTGCATTTTTTTCGGGTTTTGCAATTTTTCACACCCCGCATGATCTGTCATATCATATCATTTCATATTATATCATAACTGACAACAGCAGTTGGTTTTTTTATTTGTCCTTTGATTCTTCACCGTTTTCAACATAAGAAAATCTCTGGAGAAAAATTTTTCAAGACTTTTGAAAAAAAATTAAACTTCATTATTATGCACGACTGCAGCTATCCATCTTTCCAGTTGTTTTTGTGCCTTCTGAAGGATGCAAAAGTGAAATGATGCTTGAACAATTTTTGGAAATATCCTAAAAATAGACAAAAGTTAGCAAATGAAAATAAATGGACAAAATAAATAGTGTAAAGATGAATCATAACCTCTATAAATGTCACCTTCTTTTTTACTTTTCTTCTTCTTTACTTATTCCTATTCTCTTTTTTTTTGTTTTAGAAAATAGAGAAAGAACAGAAAAGACAGCTTGTTCGGATTAAGAAATGAAATTGTTTCAAATATTTCTCGCGTCGCCTTTTCATTTGATATTTTTATTTGATTGATACTCTTGAGATTAGGCGCAAATTCTTTTTTTTATTTCTCGTTTTTTGAAGATTTTTTCTGGTTTTATCTTTGGTCAATTTTTTAACTTGTTGACCAAAAAAATGAATAATTGAAGAAAGTTTTTTTTCAAAGTTTCCACGAATTATGCACGAATGGATTTCGAAATACGTGCAAAATTGTGCCATAATCATATTTTGAACTTGACAAATGTTTTTTTAATATTTTTCTTTAAAAAAACTTGCTAATAAAACTTTAATTTTCCACCCAGAGTATGAAACAAATACTGATTTGAAGTTTTTTCTAGAAAGTTAACACGCAATTTCTCTTAAATAATAGGTTCTTTCACATCTCGTGATCAATAAATTCCATATTTTGAGGGGTTGTGTTCATTCCTGGAAATTTTTGTTAAATCAATATGAATAATGTGCTTCTGGAATGATCCACTTTTCTAAACAAAGGAGTTTCTTGAATTTTTTCTATGAAGTAGCATAAATCCTTTGTGCAGATACATATCTCATTCTTGCAAGTCTATGATTTTGTGTTTTTAGCAAAATGTTGAAGTTGCTGTGTACACCAGGGAACATCATTTTTTCCAACTAAAAAAATCCGAAATCTCCGCCTTGTTTTTTTTTTGAGCTGAAAAATTGGGCGGAGGCTAGTTTCCCAGTTTGACCTCTTCCTCATCAATCGGAAGCGTTTTCCTTTTTTCAATCTGAATGTGGAAAATTTCCTGATACTCCATAAATCTATTTTGGCTCACATTAGAAAATAATTATTAGAATCACGCGACTCCATTCAAATAAAAAGCAGAAAAAGTTTTTCACACGATCCTACTTTTCATGAATGTTTCTATTCTGCAAAAAATTGGTTTTTTCTCTATTTTTCTTCTTTTTTTTGTTTTTCCATTTCTGTTCTGTCGTTCCCAGGGTACATTTTAATGTCACCGGTGACTCCTCCCGCGGGCAGCCGCGCTTTTGCCAAAAAGTTACTTCTCCCTCTCGCTTTTCTTTCCTATTTTTTGTCAAATTTTTGCACATATACATAGATACATACTCGTCGCTCGTCGTTTTTTTTTCATCTTCCGAACCCGCCCCCCTTAATTCTATTTTCGTTTTTCTTTTTTTTTCTCCCTGTGCCGTGTGCCGCCATTGTACTAACCCAATTTTTCACCACAACCATCACAAAAAAGCACTCTTTCGCCTATTTATAAACAAGAAAAGAAACAAAATGTAAATTTTTTTCAGAAATACATCTGCGCCCTTGATAAATTGTCGGGGGCCAATTTTGGCGGCACAATAAATTTTTTCGCAACATTTATTTTTTGAAGAGCTAGCTATTTTCTGCCTTTTTCAAATGTTTTTCTTTTTTCTTTTGGTTTTTAAGGAAAAAAACATGTCAGGTTTGAGCAAAATAAAAGTGATATCGAATTTCTTATTTGAAAGTTTTCATTCATTTTATTTTTGATTTTTGCCTACAAAAAAAAAAAAGAATGTTGCCATTTTTGTTCGAAAAAATGATGGATTCACTTGTCAGTCATTTTTTTCTCCAAAAAATAAGCTTCATATTTTTTTCTAAAACAAAAAAAAGCAGGAAAAAATCCGAAATCGTCAGATAATTTTCAATCAATCTTCATCTTCCCCATCTCTTTCCCACTTTTTTTCTCCATTTTTTCAAAGTCAACTGAATCATTCTCATTTGTCACCTGGAAAAAATATAATGTTGCAAATACATGTACTTTTTGTTATTTTCCCTTTCATTTTTCTGAAACCAGATATTCTTTGTGATATTTTTTCTTCTATTTTTCTTCCTGGCTATTTATTTTGATAAGCATTTTATTTGATTTCAGGTTATGTGATATGGGATATTCAAAAATGATTTATCATCGTCTGACAATTTTTATAATTTTCTGTTTCCAATTTATGCCAATTTTTGGAAATGTTAATATGTTTATCAGTAAGGAAGAAATGAATCGAACCCTCGGAGTCAAAGCTGAACTAAATTATATCGAACTTGGAAAAATCAACACATATTCTACAAAATTTCATTATCGTGTTATGGCTAATATTGATTATGTGTCATTTACTTGGAATTCACTTGGAAGAGTTGATTATAAAGTTCGAGTTGAATCTGATGATTCATCAGTTCTACCAATCATCAGAATCCCATTAGAAGGACGTGTGCCAAACTCGTTGCAAGGTAATTTATTTATATTTGTCAAAAAAATTGAAAAACTGGTGAAAAGAGAATCAAAATTGAATCCTTGCTCTCTAAAAGATCAAAAATTCTTCTCCATATGTTGCATTTTTAATAAGAACTATTTTGAAATACAATACTCTACTACCAAATTACACCTAATTTCCTGCTATTAGGGTTCAATAAAACAACATGCAAATTTGAAGTTTTTTTTTTCAGAATTCAGCGTTGAATATCGTTGCGCTGGACATCGATCAGGACAATTCACAATCAGTTTATATTTCAATTTTCAATATGAGAGTGAAAATTTGCAAGTGAAATTACGTCAAGAAAAAATCTGCGCTTCGAGGGATGGCAGACGTGGACTCACAGGTTATTTTTTTGTTTTAGAAAGAAACAGTTGATAAATAAAACTATTTCAGGTGGTTATGAGGGTAGTGAAATTTTGGATGATGATGATTCGATCGATCGAGCATTTTTTGTTATAGTTTGTATTGCTGCCTCATTTTTATTGATTGTTGCAGCAATGCTCATATGTTATTTCAAAAAATCAAAGAAGGAGGATTTGATCCCATCTAGAATTCCGTAAGCTTTTTATTAACAGAAAATGTTAATTTTTTTCAAAATTCGATATAACTTTTACCAATTTTCAGATGATAAATTTTTTCAGAACATCTTTTCGCAATTCGTTGAAGTCGACAAAAAGTGCTCAACCATTTTTATTGAGCAGCACATCAACAAAAGAAGGTATCAAACATCCCAAAAATCAAAAATCAGTTCACAAATAATCGAATTTGTTTCCAGGACCCCCCACAATGTCAGCAGTTTCTTCGGCCCCATGTTCATCGTCATCCGCAAACTCAATCATCCCAGACAAGCCAAGAAGTGTGAGTGAGAACAAAAGTCTTTTCGTTTCGTTTTCGTTTTTTTTTTCAAATGTCACACAAGATAACACAATTTGCAGATTGACGTTAGACGCGCTTTGTTACAACTTTATCAGGATCGTGAACTTTTCCAACCGCTGCCTTTTGTTGACATGGAAGGTTAGAAGGGACATAGAAAAAAGAAAGAATTTGTGAAAAATAAATTTAGGTACATTTGGTGAGATAAAATTCGCCATTTGGCGACAAAGTGATGATTTGTTGAATGGTGACGTTGATGATGAAGAAGATGCGGTTTGTAATCAGGAAGCGGTTTACACAAAAGTTTTGAAGAAAAACGCCACACCAGCACATTTAGATAGATTTTTATCAGAAGCATTGATCTTCCATAACATTACTCCGCATTTGAATATTGCTCAGGTTAGTTTTTCATTCAACAAAGGAATTTTTTCACCGTTGTATCTCAATTCATTTTCAGATTGCTGCTATTGCAACTTTTGGAAGATTTGATAGACCGGAAACAGTTCGAGATTTCCCAATGGTTTGTTATCGTCATCAAGGTTTCGGAAATCTCAAAAAATTCCTCGCAAACTGCAGACATGGCGATAAATCAAAAGGTACCACCATCTCTCTTTCTCACCACAATTCAAAACAATAATTTTTCAGGTGCTCAAACTCTTCGAACTCATCAATTAGTTTCAATGGCAACTCAAGTATCATCAGGTGTTGCTCATTTGCACAAATATCGCATTATTCATAATGATATTGCTGCCAGGTGCCGGAGACCCAATTATTTTAATTAAATTTGATTTTATTTATTATTTGCAGGAATTGTATTGTGGCAGAGGTAAATAATCGATTGCATGTGCAATTATGCGATTCAGCATTATCAAAAGATATCTTCCCATCGGATTATCATTGCTTGGGAGATAATGAAAATCGTCCATTGAAATGGATGGCTCCAGAAGCCATTTCAAATGGATTATATTCATCAGCTGCAGATGTTTGGTCACTAGGAGTTTTGATTTGGGAATTGATGTCACTTGGATGTTCTCCCTTCAGTGAAGTCGATCCAGAGGAAGTTTATTCTCTCGTAGTCAATGGGGCAAGATTATATCAACCAAATAATTGTCCAGATCAATTGTAATATTTTTTTCTCATTTCCTAATCAATTTTAAAATCAAAACTTTTTCTCAGAAAAACGCATATTTTTCAGATACAAAGTTATGCTTTGCTGTTGGAGAAATCTTTGTGAAGAAAGACCAACTGGAGAACAAGTTGTGAACGGATTACGCGATTTCAATGTGCAACTCAGTCAATATATATAAAATGGATTCGAATTATTTAATTTTCCGAAATAATTAGAACAGAGCTAGATTGTTACGGGTCGTTTGATTGTTGTAAATTAATTAAAAATGAAATAAAGCTGTACTATTTTGAATTGGAATGTGCTCTAAAATATGAAAATCGATGAAACACGGCTCCAAGCTACTAGAAATCTCTATTTTCAAGGCGCGGTGTTTCACTATTTTTTTCGAATTTTAAAATTTTTAATTGATAATGTTGATAATAAATTCGAAATACATATCAATGAATTAAATTTCATAGAAACACAATAATTTAAAAAATTAAACCCAATCAATTTTTAGTCATACATAATATCAATAATTCCCTCCGCATGGTTTGTCGATGGTAAAAATGTAAGTTTGGTCGCGTCACAATTTGGTAAGCAGAATTTACCCATTCCACAATTATTTGTTCGATCACACCATTTTTTGGTGCAACATACAGTGTTGTGATAAGTACTGCAGTCATTATCAGTTATGCATTCGTTTTGAATATATTCTGAAAAGATGCAAATATTTTAATTTCGAAAAATGACAACATACGGGCTGCATTATCCATTTCAATTCGAATTGGTCGATTTCTTCGATTTGCTTTCGTATATTCATTATACAAGCGTAGATCATCAGTTGTTCTAATAATTTTTTTGGGAGATCTCCTCAATTCTCCTCCAAATATTCCTAAATGTGGTATATCTCCTTTTCTCATTGGATACCATATTCCAATTTGATGTTGTTCAAACGGAGCAGGTTCTGGTGTAACTTCAGGCGGATCGTCGGATTCCATATCACCACTTATGTTTTGCAGCGGTGCAATTTGTTGGAATTTTTGAGTTTCAACAAGATATGGTTTCTCAACACTTTCTATTATGTCTTCCGGTTTTGAAAATATTGATTCGAGAGGTTCTAATGTTTCCAAAGGAGGTATTGATGGAAATTCGAAAGGTTCTGTTGTTGTCTCCAAACTATAATCAAAATTTGGTTCTGTAGTTGTGGTTGTTGGCACAGGAAACGTTGTGAGCTCTCTGTAAAAAGGCCAGCGAATTACAGAACAAAGAGATAACAATTTACCAACAAAGATTATCTCATTTTCTTTTTATGATTTAATGAATACTTGTTGCCACAACTCATATACATAATTCATTCAACTTACTCATTAAAGCTTTCCAATTCATGAAGATTAAAAATCTCCATCAGTTTCTTATGATCTTTCAATTCTTCCCTCGTTGGCTCCGCACTTAATGCTTTAGGTCGCTTTGAATTTTTTCGCATTTTTGAGGAAATTGGAAACTCGATTTCATTCACAGCTGGAGGAATTGGTGTGGTTTTTCGAATCTTCCTTGGTTTTTTCTTCTTTTTTCTTTTTTCATTGACTAGCGGAGGCTGAAAATTGCTAATAGTTTTTGATTTTGAACAAGATTTCATAAAAAACACAAACTGGATCAGTTTCCAAATGTATTTTCTTCACATGTGATTGATCAATCTCATTCCATTCATCTCCAAAATCACCAAGAAAGTTGTCCTTCCTGAAAAATTGGATATTGCGTTAAAAAAAACTCAAGCTACAGTACCTTTGCTGTAAATTCTCAAATTTGTTATCATTCAACACATAATTTGGGGTGGTTGTTTCAATCATAACAAACCTATCCACAGTAACAGGAATATCAAGAGGTTCTGAAAATGTAATGTCAAAATTGATGAATCTAATTTTATTTTAATTTACGTTCAGTTGGTTGAATAGTTGTGGTTGTTGGTGGAAACCAAGTTCGAGAATGTGTTCCAGTTGTAGTTCGTCTTCTCAATTCATCATCAGAAACAAATCGATTTGACCCCCGGAAAAATGAAAAATAAAAACCTATGACTAACTTCGAGTTGTCTTAACTAGGGAATTTTTGATTTATTTTTCATTAGGTTCAGAAAATCGTACTTTTTATAAATTTTCAAAAATAAATCATCGTTCTGATCATGAAAAATATGATTTTTATGAAAAATAAAATAATTACTTGGCACTTCCAGAAACAATGAGAGTTTCGGGGCGATTTGGTAAACTCCAGCAATCCCCATGAATACATACAAGATTTTGAGGACATTGTTCGTTTTTATCACAAACACCTGAATAACTAACTCTGAAAAATCTTTTCCATCAAAAAACATGCAATTTATTCATGCAACATAAATATTTACAGACAAATGTGTGAATTTTTCAAAAAGTGCCTCATGCATTTATACCTGGCCACTCCAATCTTTCAGATCTCCGTGGTTTTGTTGCTCTTTTTGAGCGACGTGTTGTGTCAAAATCTACAGTACGAAAATCATAAGATTTGACAAGGAGCACTGAAAATATTTATTTTTTATTAGAATTTCAACGTTGAGAAATAGTCAAAACGTACCTGGATCTACTTCACAATGTCCTGATTTCTTCATATTTTGTCGGAAACCATTTTTACAATTGCACTTCCCTAAATCACAAAACTGATTGTTTGATTGATTACAATCCTCATCAGTTTCACAGTTAGCAGATTCCCATAAACATTGACAATCTTGACAACCTTTCTCATTAATAGAGACAAAGCAATTTGGTGCACAAATTCTTGGCGGCGGACAAAATTTAGAAGATTCTGATCCATCCATAGTTTTCGAATTTTCATTTTCAACACCAAGATTTTTCAAAAGTTTTTCAGCACTATGAATAGTTTCATTTTTTGCAGGATCACTTTCTAAATCCTCATCTTCTACTAAAACATTTGCAGCGTTTTCTGGTTCTTTTTCATCATCGCTTGAATCACTTGTGTTTTGATCAAACAAAAGACTTGAATTATTTGATGAATATTCAATAGTTTGATCTATTTGTTGTGTCGAATTATTGTTTTCTAATGGTTCTGGAATTTCATCTGATTCACTTTCATTTGATTCCACAGCTTCGGCGGATCCTTCGTAAAGTGAAGCCACAGATGCAACTGAAAAATGAAGTTTTCAAAAATTTTCAGATAGAAAAAAAACCCACGTCTGATATTTTCATCAATTGTTTTCTGATCAAAAATATCACTTCCAATCCCAGGTGGACCATTATTATTGTTAGTTTTCATCTCCATTTTCAAACGATTTTTTATTGGGTCTTCTGTATTTGTTAAAACCGAAGTGTCATCAAAGTTCTGTAAATAAAAATCAGGGGTTTTCATTACATCCGCTGCAAGAAACTCACATCTGTATGAAACGGCAGATCTTCATCGCAATTCCCAATATTTAGATAAAAATATAAAATACATAAAATAAATATTCGCTGCATACTTTTTTGGCTGAAATGAATGAATAAATTGTTGGAGTATGACACAAAAATGGAGAAACACTCGAAAGTAATCTACTTGAAATGCTTTTATATACATTCATATTTGTGAAGATAGTAGTATGATCTCGTCCTTGGAATTGTTTCTGTTTCTATGGTTAGTCAAGTGAATTACTATTGTTACTGTTTTAGCCTATTGTAAATAACAGCTTCGAGGTCGAAACACTCTTATGAGTCAAATTTTTGTAAGATATCACAAATCATTAGAACAATAATAAATAACAAATAGAAAACAGCGAAAACATCAAAAACCATCGAAAATTATGAAAAGCTCAGTTATAATTGTCGTAGGTCAGTCACTCGCTCAAACAGTAGTCAGTCAGTCACTTTCTCTTTTTTTTCGAACTAATTTGGAACCGTCAAACCAACCTACCATTTCTTTCTTTTATTCAGCACACACACACCGGTTATAAATTGTATAATTCTTTTTCACTTTTAAGGATTGAAGAAAGAATTATTATGAAATTGAAAATTAATTCAATTTGAAATAAAATGAACTGAATGTGAAATGTGAAATGTGATGGGTGAATGCGCTAATTCAAAAACCGTTCGGTTTGGTAATTGAAAATTAAAGATCAGCTAAATCATATGGAAATGCATTTTTATCAGAAATTGTGTTTGTTTTTGAAAATTACAGACAACGTATAGTATCTTTCATAGATTCCGATAAACTGATGAGAAAAAATGGACAAAAAATTGCTAATCTTTCCGAACACGTTCATTTTTCCAGTACTGTAATCACATCTTGTACTTATTCAAGTTATAAATCTCGGGGATTTTATAAAGAGGTTAATTTAGAAAGAAATAGATCCAAAATCATCGAAGTTTCAATTGTTCTCTTAATTTCAAAATAAGTTTTTTCTTAGTATTTGATAACAATTATTGAAACATTTGTATGAATTTTGAAATTGTGTACATAAAGTTCATTCTTCAAATCTTCCATTTATCAAAATATTTTCTCAAGATTTTTCTGCCCTTTCTGTTGATCTAGAGTTTCATCTTCATTTTTCTAACAGTTTTTTCTGTTCAAATAATTTTGTTGAGTTCCTAATTTTGATAGTTTTTTTGCTGATAAGAGGCTACTTTTTTGGGTTCCAAAAATCGTTGGGTTTTAAACTCATATGAAATTGAGCAAGATCGAATAATTTGATCTTATCGATAAAATAAAAAGTGCAACTATCAAAGTTCGGAGTTAATAAATTAGTTTTTTTTTAATACATATACACATTCTAGTATTGCATTTTCTAAAATTAAAGAAGTTTTGATGTTTTCATAACTTTATATCAAAATGTTGGGTTTTAAAAATTCATGAAATCATATTTTGGACTCATAAAATTTATACTAAAAATCAGCACATTTTTAATATGGGTACATATAATGTTCAAACCATCAGTTCATAACATCTATGCATAATGATGATTTGAAAAACCAATAAACCAGTCAGCAAATGTTGCTACTCTTCTTCGAATTATCTTTTCTTTTTCTTCATTGAAAAATCTCAGAGAGAGCGAGGGTTGCATTATCAATTGTGCACTTCAGACAATCAGTAATTTTTTGGGTATGCCTTTTTGTTGATAATAGAGTCAAGATAACATTTAGTTTCCATTTTTGTGAACAAAGATGTTGTACAAGTGAGTTGAAAAATGTTTGTCTCTTTATTGTTCGAAAGATCATTTTTTGCAGAAATTTGGTAAAACAAAATCTCGTGGGTTCTTCGGAACCAAAAAATGAGAAACAATGTCATTTGGATGATCTCCACAGTCAAGTGTATTATTCGTGAGTTTTCTTCTAGATCGAATTTAGTTTTAAAATTGTTTCTGCAGACATCAATCAAATTTGAGAATGTTGGCATTGGTTACTTCTCTCGTCATGTTTGTGATCTATCTTCAACTCAACACTCAAAAAGCCGTTGTCACTAATAACTTGGAACAATCAAATAGATTCCGTTCTTACAAACCAACTGAAATGGATCTTGAAAAAATCACGAAAGAATTTTCGGATTATTCAGAAAAATATCAAAAGAAACATGACAATGACAAAGAAAGCATGAAACGATTGAATGCCTATCACACAACATCGGAAAATATCAAAGAATGGCAAAAGTCAGATGAACATGGTAATGTTGAATATGGACACAACGATTTGTCAGATTGGACTGATGAAGAATTCGAGAAATCACTCTTGCCAAAATCATTTTATCAGAGACTTCACAAAGAAGCTGAATTCATCAAACCTATTCCAGAATCACTTGCAAATATGGAAGGTTTGTTGCATGAAAAAGAAATCAGTTTTGTAAAGCATGATATTCCCAAATTCAGTTCAACATATTGGATGTAAAATTTCAAAATCCATAAATTTCCGTTATTATGACAGTCAGATTACGTTTTCATTTTAGCTCAAATAAAACACCCAAAATCAGATTCCTTGTATGATAAAAACCAATGATGTTTACGGAAACATTATTTTGTAAGGTCAACAGATAGTCTGAAACAAAAAATGTTTGCTAAAATTAGCATGTTTACAAAAATACTATGTTGTTAGGACAAAATAATTTCATGTTATCAGTGAGAAATAAAAAAAAATAGTTTCATAAACAAAGGTGTCATTGATGAAATGATGTGAGATTTTCTGCAAAATAATTTTCTGGTTGAAACAATTCAAAAAAGACTAATAATTTCAGGAAATTCCGGAGCATACCCAGACTTCTTTGATTGGCGTGATCGAAATGTTGTAACTCCAGTAAAAGCTCAAGGCCAATGTGGAAGTTGCTGGGCATTTGCCTCAACAGCCACTGTTGAAGCCGCTTGGGCCATTTCTCACGGTGGAGAGAAACGTAATTTGTCCGAACAAACTTTGTTGGATTGTGATTTGGATGATAATGCATGTGATGGTGGAGATGAAGATAAAGCCTTTAGGTTAGTCTATGATTTCGACGAAATCTATCTGTTTATCTGAATATGAAATTTCAATTTAAGATACATTCATCGTAATGGATTGGCTTACGCCGCTGATTTGCCATACGTTGCTCACCGTCAAAATACTTGTTCAATTGCATCTTCCTGGAACACTACCAAAATCAAGGCTGCTTATTTCCTTCACCACGATGAAGAATCAATGATCAACTGGCTCATCAACTTTGGACCAGTTAACATTGGTATTTTTCAATTGTTTTTCAAATTAATTCAATGTTTTTAATTCAGGAATGGCTGTTATTCAACCAATGCGAGCTTATAAAGGAGGAGTTTTCAAACCAAGTAAATATGCGTGTGAAAATGAAGTGATTGGATTGCACGCTTTGTTAATTACTGGATACGGAACAAGTGAACAAGGAGAAAAATATTGGATTGTCAAAAACAGTTGGGGAAATACTTGGGGAGTTGAACATGGTTATATTTATTTTGCTCGTGGTATCAATGCTTGCGGAATTGAAGATGAACCAATTGGTATTTTGGCATAAAAAATACTTCTTTTCAATTGATTAATTAATTAATGTAGTTGTTATAACATTTTCCTAATTTTCTTTTAAAATACTGTTGACATTTGACGCGTGTAACTGTTTTCAATGAAACATTTTCTTCAAGATTTTTGCTTTTGTGGAGCGCGGAACCTTGTTGGTCATTTTCAAATTTAGAAAGAAAGTATAACAAACTAATGTTTGCATACAAAATACTGTTTACTGAAATTATTTTTAAAATAAGTAATTTTGAAATATTCAAGAACTACGAACGGATTTTGATTCCTAATTTTTTGGGCTTTAGAAATTACATATATAATTTTTCTGAAACTTTTTTCATTGTTTTCTGAAATCCAGTGATTAAAATTCCCAAAATTTTTATTAAAGAAATAGAAGTATCAGAATATTTGACAAGAAAACACAAAAAAATTATTAAATTATTTACAAGGTGAAAAGAAACCGGACAACAAGGCACACTGTGGCATAAAATACATACATCTTTGCGATGACAATTGACCCGTTAAAGCGAAAAAGAAGAAGATGAAAAAATAATAAATATTGTATAAGGAATATTATTCTGGACCCGAGATACTGCTAACTATTTGTTTAGATGTGTAGATAAATATTAGGCATATTCTGTCAATTTGGCTTTGTTTTCCGAAATTTTGACAGGACATTTTGTGCAACATCGGCATATGGCAACACATAAAATAGCGAATATAAGTATACTAAACGAGATAATAAGTGCAATAACCGGAGTCTTCAAAGATGTTGATGATGAGAAGATTTTGTCTTGTACAACGGCGATGCGAGTTTCGGCAAACGCTTCACGACCTGAAAATTGAAGCTATGAATTAATTCACGTTGTAAAATACGTCAGCATGAAAATCTGATAAACCACTTGCGCAATCAAACTCTTTCAGTTTTACGATTCAACTTACCGATTGCGTCATAATTTGTGATGCGGAACATAAACTCGCATTGTTGATCAACAGGAAGAAGCATTTCATAGATATCGCTTGTCTAAAAATTTCGAAAATATTTAAAGTTTATTTTTCAAAAAGATCGCAGTTAACTTACCGCATCTAAGTATACTGTAGTTGGATTTTTGTTACATGTTCCAATATATGCTTGATAAGTAACAGCGTAGGTCAAAATATTCTCAGGGTCAGCGGATGGAGTCCAACTAATAAGAGCAGTTGAATTTGGTTGAATTGCAACGCGAATATTCGAAACAGGTTCAGGAGCTGCAATAAATAAGGTTGTTTGTGCTAAATTTTAGTTTGTATGTCAAAACTTACCGCAATTCAGGCTTCCTTTTCCGTAAACTGCTTTACATTGAAACGAGTTGAAACGAACAGAAATTGGAGAAGTCGCAATTTTCTTATCTGCACTTAAAGCAGCCAAATTGACAATATACGAAGAATCAAATTCAAGATTGGTTAAAATAATTGAATGAGTTAGATCAACTCGAATATCCCGTGTAATTGCTGTTGTTCCATTTTTGAGTTGTACCCGGAAATTGCAACTGTCATAAGCGGTTCTGTAATTAATTATTCAGCTATGATTGATCTAGCTGCTGTCAACCGTATACCCCCCTTTCTTATAAAAAAGAAAAGAAACCGACATCAAGTCTCCCCTATAATTAAAAAATTAATATACCTTGGAAAGTGTAAATGAGCCATAACCCCATGATCTGATGTAAAACCATTTTTGACAACCAACGGGGCGCCGGGAATCTTGACATCAAGTGTTGATCCAATTTCGGCCCATTCACTTTGAATTGTATCTCCGAGTTTGCCAGCTGGTCCAACTACAGTTGACATAAATTTGTATTGTACACCGGGGATTAAACCGTCCACTTTGATCATTGTGTCTGATTCGACTGAAGCGGTGATCCAATTTGATTCGTCGTATTTGCCCATTGAATAAGTGCGTTGTTTCCATTGGATCACATATTGAATTGGACCAGATGGACGCGTTTTTGATAATCCAATGAGGCCCTGGAAAAAAGATTTTGGTATTTTTGAAATGAGAGGAGAAATTTTTCAAAATGAAATGAAAACAAATTTGATTTTTATTATCTTCAAGTGATTGAAGTGACTGCTTTTAATTTTCAAAAAAAAAATTAAAACTTGTCATAATGTTTTGTTTGAAAAAAGGAACTTTATAATCCAAAAAATAATTTCCAACTTTTCATGTCATGTTACTACACTATAAACGCCCAAAATATATCCGCAAAGGTTTTCCTGCAAGCTCAAAACAAACAAAACAAAAAATTGTTTACCTCATAAGAATCATCTAAATCTGGCGTTGCTGATGGCATCTGGCACAAAAGCTCAATCGAGGAAATTGGCGAACTTCCTACTTTTCCAGCATGCGCACTCGACTCAACCCAAAATTTGGCGCCTTGAAGAGTGGCACCAGTCAAATTGACTCGTTTCATATCACGTCGATGTTGAAATTGTAAACATCCCATTTCACATTTCTCATATTCTTCTGAATCAATTGCAAAATATTCATCCGTTGTTCCATCTAACATTGTTCGATGTTTTGGGGAGCCGTACTAGAAAAAAAGATGGGTGATTGATTTTTAATTGGATTAGGTGCAACCAGCTGTTTTTTTGAAATCTCGAGAAAAACTCATTTCAAAAAAACTCACTTTTTCTGAACATTTCGCTTTACATTGTGCAACTCTAAATAAATGTGCAAAATCGATTTGGATATACGGTAGCACAACAAATGCCACGGTATGGCTAAATAATTGTAATAAAAGCAAGAAGCGCATATTCATGACCTGGAAAAACTTTGCTAATTATCTTTGAAGCAAACATATGGAGTGAGGATAAAAGATTTGAGGCAATAAGAAAAGAAGGCTCTTGAGAATCTCCTATTGCGTGAAAATTGGGAGATTCTCAAAGAAAGAAAAGAAACAATAAAAGAAAAAGGAATAATTCTTTGATTGTCATAAAATAATTTATAATATATTCTAGCAGAAACCGGGAGGGACCAACAGACACCAGTAGAGAAATTACACAATAGGTGTTTTTTTTGGCAGCAAGAAGTGAACAGTTGGTGGTGGTAAAACAAACGCGAGAAAATATGAATCTCAAAATAAAAAAATAAGCCTTCCGGATGAGCAAGAAAAAAATTGAAAAAAAAACTTTCTCTCAAATTAGCCAACTATAATAAAAATGAAAAAACTCGTGTGTGTGTGTGTGTAAAACAATAAAAGCAACAATCTCGTTTTTGCTCAGAATGAATGAAAACAAAATTGTTTTCCTATTCTTTGACTGAAATAACAGAAAAAAGCTAAAGGTATGTATTTACATATGAGGCAGAAAAAAACAACAAGTTAATGACTGGAATGAATGACTTTTTATGGTGGGACAATAAAATGTATAGATAAATATTTATTTGATGAGAAACTTTTGTGGTGGAGGTGGGCGGGAGCAACAAAAAAGAGGGCGGGGTTTATGTGTGGGGTGGTGAAAAGGGGAAGGTGCCAGAAAAGCAGGAGCAAAAAATTTGCAAGGATTACTGTATATCACTTGACATGTCAAATTGGCTTTAATGTTACCGAATATTTTTGCTTATCAGGAGGTGCGAAGAGATATTTGGAAAATGTGTGAAGTGTGGGCTAAGTTTAGCCTATAGGAAAAAATGATTATGGGAAGAATATATTGAATCAGCAAAAAGGGGATTTTCAGCATGTGAGCGATTATTTTAAAATCCGAATACACATATTTTTGATAACATCCGGATTAGCCAAGATTATCATAAAAAAACAGAACAATTTCTTTTCTTTTTTTATTATATACATTTCGGGGCGAAATTTTTTTGAAATTAATTCTGAAAATTGGACGGAATATTGTTAAATAGATTGCTAAAGACATTTCCAATCAATCCGACGTGAATCGATTCAAAAAAACTATAAAATTCGAATTTCAATAAATCAAGATGATTTTCAAACACTAGAAATTAATTTTCTAGCAGATTACAAATTTGCCACGTCATAACTTTGATTGAACATTTCCCATGTTAAAACTTTTTTTAGGATGATTTCAAAAATAAGAAAAATATGCATGTTCATTAGTAACAAAAAAATAGAAAAAAGTTCTATGAAAAATAGAAAACGCAGAATAATAAAAAAGAATTTTCAAAAAAACTTATGAAAAATTAGAAAAGTGCAAAATGTTCAGAAATTCAGCTGCCAGCGTTCTAGATGAGGAAAAACTCTCATGCATACATTCACATTCATATATGATTATAATCAGCCAAAAAATATTCCAAAAGAAAAAAAAATGTAAAGGAAATTATATTATAATATAATATAACTCGATTGTAAAAAAACGTCGAAAATGCAAGCCACAAGAAATCAAGGACAAAGAGAGCCACTTTTTCTCGTTCATTTTTTATGTGTAAAAATAAAATAAAATAATAACAATAATAATGAGCTGAATCAAAAAAAGAAGAAAAGAGGAAAAATATCCTAATTTATTGCCTTTTTTGTTGCTCACTTATAACACAAAAGCTCGAGAAAAAACAGAAAAGGGGCACCTGTTGATTGCTCATTATTATCGCCTGTCATTGTTCTTTGCCAGGATTTTATTTCCTTTCACTTGTCGGCTCTCGTTTTTTGATATCAGGTTGTGCTCTTTTCAAAAAAGAGGACAACATAGATTAATCAAAAAACATAAGAGCAAAGGAAAAGGGAGTGAGTGAGAATTGTAAATTATATGACTAGATGACCACCCAAAAGACAAGACAATAACACATATTACACACTTGTTAGAGATTTTTCTCCAGCTAATTTGTGGTCGCATAAAAGTGATATATATTTTTTGAATTGAATTTTGAGCAGAAGAAAAAATGTTTCGAAAAAATACGGAAGAAAAAAAGGAAATTTGAGATCTTGTTTTTGAAATGAGAACAAAGGAAGAATATGCAAAACTTCCGAAAATATAGTCTACTGAAATTGAAAAATGAAAAAGCCTAATGGGTGTTGGTTCAGGAAGAAAAAATTGGAGAGCAAAGGGGAATGAGAACTCGAAATGTGTAAGATTTTTCGAAAAGTTATTAATTGATGATTCGAGTTAATGAAAAAGCTAATGCCTTTGCTACAGCAAGATTTGAGGAGCAGAAATTGTGAAAATCAGAATTTATTTTACTGCTCCCAGTAATGAACAGAGTTTCAACTGAAGCCGATCTTTACATTGTCAAATCACCAGCTCTCAAAATACTCTCCATACAACAAATATTCAAAAAAGAAGATACTACGAAACAAGTGCGCAGCTATTGTGTTATACATTCTATTACAACGAAAAAAACAACCAACTCTTCCAAATCTCCCACAAATGAATAAATAAAATGTTGTCTGTCGTTAATTAGCGAGTACCTGATACTAAAAGACAAGAATCTGTCATAAACAACATATGTGGATAATGATGAATTATTCTATTAAAACACTAGTAGTTGCTTTTTACTCTATTCTAGTGAATTTTATAAATCTATGTATGTATCAAAAAAATCGTGGCTCATAGCATCGAAAAATGAGGTTAAGTGGTATGGTTACCTAGAAAAATGGAAAGAAAAAAAGAGATTATTACAGGAATAATAATTATTATGGTTATGAGAAATGGGATTAGGAATGGCTTTGGTTTTGAAGATATTGTCGGGTTGTTGTTTTTAGCGAGGTGACCAATTTCAAGGTTAATTTGTATTTTTATGAGCTATGTATATGACCAAAAAAAGTTTGAATGTTTTTTCTTGAAATGAAAAAAACATAAAATATAATAAAAGGAAAAGATGATTAATGGAGTGAGGAAAAATCTGAAACCGGGGAAACGTATTTTTAGCTCAAATGAAAAAAAAAAGAAAAAAGAATGTTGAGAATTTAACCGGATACATTAATATTTCAGATGGGAAATTCAGTGTGGAACAAGAAAAAACGCAATTGGAACTAGTAAAAACAAATAAAAAAACAAGAAATGAAAAATAAAACTTTGTCTTTATTCGGGTGGCGCGTTATCATCAGAGCGCATTTTCTCGATTGAAAAACAAAAAAGGGAAGGTGGTATTTTGTTAGTTGTTTGTGTTTACAAAAAAGGTGAAAATATGGAGAGCGGTGAGAACTGTAGCAAGAGAATATTTGAAGATTAAAAAAATTATTTCTGATTCTTAATGTTAATAAATTCAACCTAATTATGTCATTGTGGTTTCATTTCAACTTGTAAATTCTTTCTATAAAATGTTTTTCTGAAATATTTTTTGAGAGACTCTGTAAACCACTCATAAATTGTGAACAGTAAAAGAACAGTAAGTGAATGGCAATTCAACCAAGCAACTGATTTTTCAGTTATTCTTTGTTTCCAAAAAAATTGTTTCTCTTTAACCTCAGCACTTTTCGGAACAAAAAACAACTTTGGCAACATTTGCAACAAGAAAATACCAAAAAAAACAAACAAACATAACCTTTCAGTTCCAAACTACAACAAAAGCTTCACCAATCATTGTTCTATTCTATTCTATTCTTCTCATATGTTACTAGTCTCACTTACTTACTCATTCTTCTCCACCTTACACCAATACATTCATTTCCCAAATACCCTAACCTATTATTCAATACATGACACCTTTGCTCATTTTTCACCTCGCAATATAACACCTTAAACAAATATATACCCATCTTCCATTATTCATATTAATTTGAGGAGAAATGATGTACCCACCTGTAAAGTCAACATTGCGTAATGTGCCAAAAGAGTCTTTAATTATGATTTTGCTAAAAAGGTGCTCTTCTTTGTTTACTAAATGGGAGTGTGTTCATTCCATTGCACTTATTATAATTGGTGGGTGAATGTTTTGGTGCGATGAAATTAGAGTATTTATGTTTTTTTTCTTTTTCACCTTCGAGGTCAATTTATTATTATTGAGATTCTGGTGGATGGGAATATGTTAGAAAAAGAACAATGGAAAGTTATTATGAAGTGGTGATTGAGGAAATGTACCTGTTGAAGGTGATTTTTTTGTTAGAAAGAACAAGGAAAAAATGAAAGAGGGAAGGAAACTTGGAAAAATCATAGAGTTCAAAATGCAACCAACTGAACTTCCGTTGTTCCAAATTAGGTAGCACCTTTCAAAATTTTTGGAACATTTTGGATTGCAAAAAACTTGGAGGATTGAAAAAGTTTGAAAAGCTTCAAAAATGTGTTCAATCTACAGTACCCTTATAACAAATATCACCCTATCTATTTCACACCTCCCACAGGGTGTTTTATCTCCCAGTGTTCGTTGAACCAACACCCAAAACCTACATTGGTGTAAAAACGGAAAAGTGTGAAAACCAACACCGAGAAAAAACTGAATGTAAATTGAGCTGCCACTCGATACTTTTTCTATTTTTTAACACAAAGGGGTCATTCACTTTTTTAAACTATGGAAAAAATAGTGTAAATTTTATATGCCATCAAATTGAATTTAATGAAGCTTCTGGGGCCAGGAAGAATAAAGGAATGAGTTTGGAAAAAAACCCGTTTTTTTCTTTGGATAATGAAGGAGAAGCACGTGTAAAGTAAGGAGAAAAACAAATGAGGCGAAAAAGGGTGAGAATATCTATTGAAATGAGAATACGGTATGGGAAAGAAGGAAAAAAGGATATGTTTGTGTAAATTGGACAAATTTGATTTTCAAATAATAAGCAAAAACAAAAATAACAAGGAGAAAAGGATGTGTTGGTTTAATGAGCTTCGCAAAACCACACCGACACTGATTTCATTTCGCATATGTTTTTGC